ACTAATATTGTTGAAATTTATACTCACAATCTGTAATTTATATATAATTAATTAGATCATTGATTAATTATTGTGAAATTATAATTTAACAAATAAATATTAATAAATATTATTGAAATCTATACTCACTTCCTATAATTTATATGAACATTGATTAATTATCATGAAAATTATAATCGAACAAATAAAATATTAAATATTATTAAAATTTATACTCACATACTGTGATTTATATTATTAGTTAAGTTTAATTTATCATATAAAATTAAATAGATCTTATTGAAACTTGACTCACATCCTGTAATTTAATAATTGTAAAGAATTTATTAATTCATAATAAATTACGATTTAACAAATAAATTATTATTGCAATTTATACACACGTCCTGTAATTTATATAATCGATTAAAACCATTGATTAATTTATTATAAAATTATAATTTAACAAATCAATACTATAAATGGCATCGAAATTATACTCACCTCCTGTAATTTATATAATTGATTAGAGCATTAATTTATTCATTATAAAATATAGTTTAACAAATAAATATTAATAAATATTATTGAAATTTATACTCACGAGCTGTAATTTATATAATCAATTAGTGCATTAATTTATTATAAAATTACAATTTAACAAATAAAATAATTGAAATTCATACTCACTATCTATAATCGATTGGTGTATTGATTAGTTCATTATAAAATAATTTATTCATTATATTTTAACAACTAAATATTAATAACTATTATTGAAATTATACTCACGATCTGTATTTTTATAAACAGAGCATTAATTTATGTATAATTTAATAAATAAAATTTTAATAAATCTTACTAAAATTTATACTCACATCCTGTAATTCATATAATTGATTATATCATTGTAAACTTGTAATTTCACAATATTTGTAAATATTATTGAAATTTATACTCACGATCTGTAATTTATATAATCGAATTGGTGTATTATTATATTTTAAGATTATAATTTAACAAATAAAATATTAAATCTTATTGAAATTTATACTTACTTTCTGTAATTTACATAATCGATTAGAGTATTAATTCATTATAAAATTTATAATTTAACAACTAAATATTAATAATTATTATTGAAATTATACTCACAATCTGTATTTATATTATCGATTAAGGCATTAATTAATTCATTATAAAATTATAATTCCATAAATATACCATTGAAATTTATACTCACATACTGTAATTTATATAATTGATTAGAGCATTAGTTTATTTAATTATAATTACAATTTATCAAATAAAAATTGAAATTTATACTCACTTTCTGTAATTTAAGAACGGTTATTAATTCGTTATAAAATTATAAATAAATATTAATGAATTTTATTGAAATTAATGAATTTTATTGAAATTTATACTCACCAACTGTAATTTAATGGTCGATTAGAGTATTACTTTATTATAACATTATGTTTAACAAAACATTAATAAATCTTATTGAAATTTATACTCACGATCTGTAATTTATATAATTGATTAGAGCATTAGTTTATTTAATTAGAATTATAATTTATCAAATAAAAATTGAAATTTATACTCACTTTCTGTAATTTATATATTTGATTAGAACGTTTATTAATTCGTTATAAAATTATAAGTAAATATTAATGAATCTTATTGAAATTTATACTCACCAACTGTAATTTAATGGTCGATTAGAGTATTACTTTATTATAACATTATGTTTAACAAACCATTAATAAATCTTATTGAAATTTATACTCACGATCTGTAATTTATAATTAGAGCATTAGTATATTTAATTATAGTTATAATTTATTAAATAAATATTAAATTTATACTCACTTTCTGTAATTTATATAATTGATTAGAACGTTTATTAATTCGTTATATTATAAGAAGTAAATATTAATAAATCTTATTGAAATTTATACTCACTAGCTGTAATTTATATAATCGAATAATGCATTAATTTATTATACTATTAAATTATAATTTAACAAATGAATATTTATACACACGAGCTGTAATTAATATAATCGATTAGACCATTAATTATTATACTATAAAATTATACTTTAATAAATGGATATTAATAAATACTATTAAAGTTTTATACTCACTATCTGTAATTTATATAATCGATTAGAACATTGATTAATTCGGTATTAACTTATAATTTAATCAATAGATATTAATAAATATTAGTAAAAACTTATACTCACGTGCTGTAATTTATATAATTGATTAGAAAATTAATTGATTCGTTATAAAATTAAAATTTAATAAGTAAATATTAACAAATTTTATACTTACGTCCTATAATTTATTTAATCGATTAGAACATTGATTGATTCATTATAAAATTATAATTCAGCATATAAAATCTTAATGAAATCTATACTTACATACTGTAATTTATATAATCGATTAGAGCATTAATTCATTATATTACAAAAATTAGAATTTGACAGATAACTATTAATAAATATTATTAAAAATTATACTCACTTCCTGTAATTTATATAATTGATTAAAGTATTGATTAATTCATTATAAAATTATAATTTTATCAAACAAATATTAATAAATAGTATTGAAATTTATACAATTTATACTCACATACTGGAATTTATATAATTAATTAGAGCATTGATTGATTATATTATAAAATTTAATTCAACAAATAAATATTAATAAATATTAAAATTTATACTCACATTCTGGAATTTATATAATTGATTAAAGCATTGATTAATTCGTTATAAAAATACTATGCTAATAAATCTTATTGACATTTATACTCACAAACTGTAATTTATAGAATCGATTTGAGTATTAATTTATTCATTATGAAATTGTAATTTAGAATAAAATATTAATAAATCTTAATGAATTCATACTCACGATCTGTAATTTTTATAATCAATTAGAGCATAATTTAGCGAATAAATATTAATATATAAATATTATTAAAATTTATACTCACTCTCTGTAATTTATATGATCGATTAGAGCATTGTTCAATTCGAAAATTACAATTTAACAAGTAAATATTATCGCGGTTTGCATATTAATTTAACTTTGATCAAATATGTAGATCGCTACACACCCATGATAGTTGTTCGGTTGCGTGATTGTAAAGTGCGTTTTTTGGCCAAAGATTCAATATAAATAATTATTTTAATAAAATTTGTCATATCTATGTTCGCTAAAAAATCATCGTATAATCACGTAACCGAACAGCAATTAAGTAATTGTTCAAATGATTGGTGTACGGCGATTTATAAATTTGATCAAAGTTACATCAATATACAAAACGCGATAAATGCCGCGGCTGAAGCTGGAAATTTTATATGAAATTTTCAAAAATTTTTGGGTGAATTTTTTTGCTTTTTTTTACAGTTTGCTTAGGACTTAGGGTTAGTTTTGGTAATAAAAATGTATAAGTGGATTTTGGTATGATTTATATGTTTAAATTGAGGTCACTAATTTCAAATTTCAGCCGCGACAATAAATATTATTGAAATTTATACTCACATACTGTAATTTATGTAATTGGTCAAAGCAATGGTTAAAATTATTGAAAAATTATAATTTAACAAATAAAAGATTAATAAATCTTATTGAAATTTATACTTACTTGCTGTAATTTACATAATCGATTAGAGTATTAATTCATTATAAAATTATAACTTAACAAATAAATATTAATAAATCTTATTGAAATTTATACATCCTGTAATTTACATAATCAATTAGAATATTAATTCATTATAAATTATAATTTAACAAATAAATCTTATTGAAATTTATACTTACTTGCTGTAATTTACATAATCGATTAGAGTATTAATTCATTATAAAATTTATAATTTAACAAATGATATTAATAAATATTATTGAAATTTATACTCACATACTGTGATTTATATTATCGGTTAAGGCATTAATTAATTCATTATAAAATTATAATTAAATAAAATATTATTAAAATTTATACTCACTCCCTGCAATTTGCATGATCGATTAAAGCATTGATTAATTATAAAATTATAATTTAACAAGTGAAATATTAATAAATGTCACGATGAAGCTGAAATTATCTGAAGCCAGAAAATTTAAATATTTTAATACGAAATTATCAAATTTGTTTGTGGTGCGCTTTTTTAGGCTTTTTTTTATAGTTGGGTTAGTTTGGTTAGGACTTAGGTTTAGTCCCAATGTTAAGAGCATAAGTGAATTTTGGTAGGTTTATATTTTTAAATCAAGGTTCCTAATTTCCAGCTTCAGTCGTGGCAATAAACATTGAAATTTATACTCACTTTCTGTAATTGAAATAATTAATTATAATATTGATTAGTTCATTATAAAATTATAATTTAACAAATGAACATTAATATTTTTAAAATTTATACACACAATCTGTAATTTATACAATATAATGGATTAGAATTCAATAATTTTGAAATTATAATCTAAGAATAATTTTAAACTAACCAACTGTAATAGATCAGTGTATTAATTATCGTTATACAAGATTGTTCATTAGAAATTTTGACTTGTTAAAATTTATACTTACTTCCTGTAATTCATGTTATGTAGTGTGCTAATTAATTTTTGACGCATTATGTGAATAGTACGTATTCGAAATTATACTCACGTGCTAAAAATTATATAATTCGTTAACACATTATCACTTATATTATAATGTTATGCTAATTTAATAAATTTGGAAAATTTATAACTCACTTTCTATAATTTAAAGTGGCTGATTAATTTATTATTTTATTTATCGCGACAGCTTATTCTGAAATTGACATTTTTAAGTCTAAAAATTCACATACAACTTTTTATTAAAAATGCTCAAAATTTCAGAATAAACCGCCATAATTATGAATTCACCAATTCTGGAAATACTCACTTTCTAGTAATTCATGCAAACAATAAAAGAATATTATTTATATAATTATGAAACGCAAAAAAAAACTTTAAATACTACTACATACAAGCGATAAAAATCGCTTTATTGCAGCTTCATTCAATACTGTATTTTCTTCTTGTTCTGTATTTCCACTCTGTGTTACAGCTTCTTCGTTCGCTGCGTTATTTTTGAAAAGGTAGGAGGTGGATTTATCGATTACCTCTGTAATGGCATTGTCTGTATTCTCATTCGCTGCTGTAGGTGCTGTTGTGATTATAGACTTGAATCTGACGATTGCTTTGAATACCTGCCGTAGTATACTTATTTTGGCATTGTCTTCTGAATCTTCATTTGCTGCTTCATTTGCTGCTTTATTTGCTGCATATTTATTATGATCAATGATACTTCCAGAGTTTACATAGAAGTATAAATTTGTTGCATGGTTCACCCTCTCAGAGAAATCATATTTTTCTAAGTATAATCGTATTGTTTTACACACTACGTTCTGAAATTGTTCTTTAGAGAATTCGCTTAGATCTTTGGGTCCTAAATTACAATATATTTATTTATTAATCAAATCTAATATAAAGAATCAACATTATATTTTTGAAAATTTACCTAAAAGGCATAAAATCATAAATATATATTCCAAATTGATAAATACATTAATTAATAATGCGATTTTTTATTCTTAAAATTAACTACATAGAATACCTTCATCGGTTTCTTGTTTTGTTTCATAAAACCATAAATATGTATCCCAAATTAATGAATATAATTAATAATGCCATTTTTTATTCTTAAAATTAACTACATAGAATACCTTCATCGGTTGCTTGTCCGTTGAAATTGTTTGTAATTTTAGATAGAAAAGAATCCAACTTTGACACAAAATTATTACAGTTTGCTGGTGTTTGATTAATTTCTTGTTTTTGATTCTGATTCTTTTTTTGTTTGGTTTCTTGTTTTGTTTCATAAAATCATAAATATGTATCCCAAATTAATGAATACATTAATTAATAATGCGATGTTTTATTCTTAAAATTAATCACATAGAATACCTTTAATTTCATGTACAAAAGAAGTCCAGAACTTAAAAAACAACTCAAAATTCCAGGATGCTTGAATATTTGCTTGGTTGGTGCCTTGTTTTGTTTCGTAAAAGCATAAATATGTATTCCAAATTGATAAGTACATTAATTAATAATGCGATTTTTATTCTTAAAATTAACTACATAGAATACCTTTAGCATCGGTTGCTTGTCCGTTGGGATTGATAAATTCATGTAGAAAAGAAGTCCAAACCTTAAAAAACAACTCAAAATTATCCCAGGTTGCTTGTGTTTGATTATTTTCCTGTTTCTTTTCTTGATCTTTATTATTTTCCTGTTTCTTTTCTTGATCTTCATTATTTTCCTGTTTCTTTTCTTGATCTTCATTATTTTCTTGTTTCTTTTTCTGTTCGGCTTGTTTTGCTTCGTAAAATCATAAATATGTATCCCAAATTAATAAATACATCAATTAATAATGCGACTTTTTATTCTTAAAATTAACTTCATAGAATACCTTTAATTTCATCTCGAAAAAAAATCCAAAGCTTAAAAAATAACTCAGAACCATCCCAGTTTCTTTTCTTGTTTTCAATATCGGTTGCTTGTCTGCTTGTAATTTCATTTAGAAAAGAGATCCAAACCTTAACAAACAACTCTTGTTCGGTTTCTTTTTTTGCTTCGTAAAATCATAAATATGTATTCCAAATTAATAAATACATTAATTAATAATACGATTTTTTATTCTTAAAATAAACTACGTAGAATACCTAGATAAAAAGTCGAAAACTTAAAAAACAACTCAAAATCATCCCAAATTGCTTGTGTTTGATTATTTTCTTGATTTTTATTATTTTCCTGTTTCTTTTCTTTTTTTTCATAAAATCATAAATATGTATTCAAAATTAATAAATACATTAATTAATAATACGATTTTTTATTCTTAAAATAAACTACGTAGAATACCTTCTTGTCCGTTGGAATTGGTTGTAATTTCACGTAGATGAGAAGTCAAAGACTTAAGCAACAACTCAAAATTTTTCCGGGTTGCTTGTGTTGGATTATTTTCCTGTTTCTTTTCTTGTTCGGCTTCTTGATCTTGATTATTTTCCTGTTTCTTTTCTTGTACGGCTTCTTGTTTTGCTTCGTAAAATCATAAATATGTATTCCAAATTAATAAATACATTAATTAATAATGCAATTTTTTATTCTTAAAGTAAACTACATAGAATACCTTTAGCATCGGTTGCTTGTCTGTTGGAATTGATTGTGATTTCATGTAGTAAAGAAGTCCAAACCTTAAAAAACAACTCAAAATTATTCCAGGCTGCATGTGTTGAATTATTTTCTTGTTCAGCTTCTTGGTTTTGATTTTCTAGTAATCGTTTCAAATCTTGCCATAGAATATTTGGATTAATTTTTTGTAATCGTTTCAAATCTTCCCGTAGAATATTTGGCTTATCTGCTAGTAACTGTTTCAACTCTTGCCATGAATTATTTTCATTATTTTCAGTCGTGCGTAGTGTTTCGTCATTAAGTGACTTTATCAACTTATTAAGTGACTTTATC